TTCAAGGGTCATCAGGTCCAGTACGAGCTGAACGTTGATTTACAGGATTTGGTACAAAGGGCGTTGGCTTGTCTAGGGAATAACAAGTCGGAGAAAGCGGTGACTGACCTGAATGAGGCTCTTAACACGCTAAATAAAAGAAACAAGCTAAAAAGAATTGCTGATAAGTCGGAGGGAGGATGTAAGACCGTACAAGAATATTTATCCGATGATTTAGCTAGCGACTCCGAGGATGAAAAGAAGATAAGGGCAGCTGACAACCCGGCGGTGAAAAAGTTGAAGTCCGTAAAATCCGCAGACAAGAAGCAGATTGTACGAAAAAGACCAGCTGAAGCTTCCAGTTCTACCTTGCAAACAGTTCATAATGCAATTCCAGTTTCTGTCAGCATGCCGCCCTTTCGTGGGAGCAGACCTGGTTACGGAAACCAGGTCAAAAGGTCCAGGGAAGGAGATATGTGTTACATTTGGACATTGGGCTTCCGAGTGCAAAAAAGACACCAAAACTGGATTTGGAGCTCCCAGAGGAACTTCGTTAGGATTTCAGCGCTCATACGGACACTTTACAGGTTATGAATCTTATTTTGAATATGAAAAAGGTTATTCAGATATTTTTGTTAAAGATCGGCTGAAAAATTCTGTAAACTTTTGAAAAAGTATTAACGCTTCGTTTTATTGTTGATGTTATTGAAAATGGTTACAAAATACCTTTGTTAAAAGAGCCTGAAAATATTTATTTGAAAAATAATAAATCTGCGTTAGAGCATTCAGATTTTGTATCAAAGAGCTTGTATCGGGCGGTTTAGTAAGACGTGTATCAATTATGCCTCATGTTGTTAACCCTTTAACAGTTTCAGTTAACGGTAAAGGTAAACACAGATTGATTTTAGATCTTAGACATGTAAAGATATGGTTTCATGTCGATCCGGCCCCACGTCGATCCGGCCCAAGTCGATCCGTCCCACGTCGATCCGGCCCAACGTCGATCCGGCCCATATTTAAAGTCGATCCGGCCCAATAAAAAAATATATTTATAGGGAATAAAAATAAAGATATATATTAATTGTAATTCATAAATGTTTATGAATTTTATTATAATGTAAAAGGTGTACGGTAAAAAAAAATGTGCATTCAGTGTAATTATTTTGTTATTATCTTGCAATAAAGAATAATGGATACTCATATAACTTTTTTTTATCTACACACAACTATTCAAAATATTGTCAACTTTAAAAAAATATATTGACTATATTCGATATTACAAAAAAAGAATGTGTTATAGAAGCCTCTGATGTTACCTGAAAAAAAATATACAATTAATTATTATAACACATAACACCAAACAAAAGATCAAACTATAAAGACCTTGTTGATTACGTAACTTTAATCAATCAGGATTTGATTGAATTAAGTGATTACGAGTGGCATTACCTTAGTTCACAATCATCAGACAATTGTTGAATAAACAAACCAATTATAGACTAATGATTTGATTAAACAAGTCATTATGATGAGTTAAAATTTATAGGTTCCATTGGACAGTAAATATTTATTTAGCTATTCTGTGTGTGAATTAAATAAAATAAAAATCGCCATGACATTCAAAGTTATCATGGAAAATAACTTGATATTAATATGTTGAAGCTGCTATACAAACAGACACAATCACACTCATTTTCGTATCGATTTAAAATAATTCTTTGACTGGTACTCCAATACTTCACTTACCTGTTGTCATCCATCATCGATACTTTTTACAAATTCCATTTATACTGTTAAAATTTGTCACAAAATCCTCCAAAGTCAATATAGTTTATTCATATTTTATTATGGGGCCGGATCGACGTAGGGACGGATCGACGTGGGCCGGATCGACTTGGGACGGATCGACTTTGGGCCGGATCGACTTGGGGCCGGATCGGTTTGGGGACGGAACGACCGGATACCAAATAAACAAGTGGTTGTAAACAAAGTCAAATTCGAAAATTGGAAAACTTTATCACAATATGTTACATTGAATTGTTATGGGTATGTCTTTGATTTGAAGTCTGGATATCATCACTTAAACATTTTTGAACAACATTAAAAGTATTTAGGGTTTTCGTGGAAAGGAGAATTTTATGTTTTTACTGTGTTGCCATTTGGTTTAAGCTCCAGCGGGTATATTTTTACTAAAGCTGTGAGACAATTGGTCAAGCACTGGCGTAAATCTAGCATAAAGGTAGTTGTTTACTTAGATGATGGTTTTGGGGTTGAAGATAGTTATGAATAATGTGAAAAGCACGCTCAAAGAATCAAAGCAGACTTGATTGCTTCTGGTTTTGTGCCAAACAAAGACAAGTGTGTATGGTTACCTTCACAGCACGTTGAATGGTTATGTTTTTATGGAATTTAATTTCTTGCAAATTACAAATTCCTCAGAGAAAAATAGATGATATCCTGAAATTGGTAGCTTTTATACTAAATTCTAGTTACAGGGTAAAGGCACGACAGTTGGCCAAAATCTGCGGTAAGTTAATTGCTTTAACACCAGCCGTAGGCAATGTTACCCAGATCATGACAAGATGCATTTGTTTAGTCATTAATATAAGAGACTATTTGGATCAATATGAAAACATCGGCAAGTACCCTGATTGTATCAATGAGCTCATTTTTTGGAGAGATAATTTGCTTTTATTAAAGGCGGTTGATCTGGTAAAGAACATTTCAAATTTTCATGTTTTCAAAGATGCAAGCGATACGGGCGCTGCAGGTTTCATACAAAATTCATCGAAAATTTTGCACAAAATGTGGTTAGAAACTGAGCGAGGTAGGAGTTCTACTTGGCGAGAAGAAAAAGCAATTCAGTTATGTGTCAGTGCCTTTTCAAAACTCTTACAAAACAGTATCGTGACTTTTCACACAGATAACAAGAATGCTGTTAGCATCATAAAAAAGGTAGCAAAGTGCAAGAGTTACAACAATTGTCTTTAGAAATTTATAGGTGTTGTTTACTTGAAAACATTTCATTACACATAATCTGTTTACCCAGAAAAGAGAACGAGAAGGCTGATTTATTAAGTCGGATTATAGATATTGATGACTGGGGTATTTCTCCAGAGTACTTTCAGTTTTTAGACGACCTCTGGGGTCCTCATACCTTCGATAGGTTTGCTAATATGGACAATAACAAAGTAGATAAATTCAGTTCGTTGTACTGGAACCCTGGTTCCTCAGCAGTAGACGCTTTCTCGTGCCACTGGGCACAAGAAAACAATATATTAGTACCACCAGTCTCTTTAGTTTGTAAGTGCATAAACCACTTGGTTAGATGCAAAGCAGAGGGAACACTGGTAGTTCCGAGTTGGCCGTCGTCTCCTTACTGGCCATTGATTTTTTTATGAAAATGCAGAATACAGATCTTACGTATTAGACGTGCTCGAATTTAACGAGGTAGACAGAATTTTAGTTTCTGGAAACAATTTAAATTCTATTTTTGCGAACGGAAAATTCAAGGGTAGAATTTTAGCTGTTCGTTCGAAAGCTACTGATTGATATTTGTGATAACATTTTATTATTTTTTGCAGATTTTACTTACTGGAGGTTCTCTATTCAGAGACGTTAGCTTACAGAAGCTTATTGATGTAGATATTGCGTCACTTGACGATAGTTTTGGGGCCACTTGGCCTGCAGATACCACTGGGTATAGTAATGGTCACTGGACCTGTTTTTGTCTGTTTGTGAATGCTGAGCAGTTATGCATATTTCAAGGTAAATATTTAATTAATCTATATATATTTTACAGAAAATATTTTCAACGGGATTTTGAAAAAATGATACACAAGTAAAGCACACAGAACTTAAGATTTTGTTCAGAAAAATGAAGAATTCAGTTATTGCCTCTAAAGCCAGAAATACAACTGTTAAATATGCATTCAGTTTTAAGCGTTTTGTAGTGTGGTCTGAAAAATATACAGAAATCAAGTCTGTCCTTCCTGCCAACAAAATTTATGTTAGTTTATATCTTCAATATCTAATGCAAAGTGCAAAACACTATAGTACTATAGAAGCTGCATGTTATGCTATAAAGTGGGCTCACAGTTTAGCTGGGTTTGAAGACCCATGCGACTCGGATATAGTTAAATGTATTGTGGAGGCATCTAAAAGAAAGCTTAATAGACCTTTTCAGAAAAAAGAACCGATGAATGCAAACATCATGCTCAGTCTTTTTAAGAAATTTGGAGTAACAAATAATTTGCTAAAAAATCTTTGATTATTAGCTATGTGTTTTCTGGCTTATTCAGGATTTTTAAGGTACAGTGAACTATGTCAGATAAGAGCAAAGCACATTACATTCGGAGACGATCATATTGATATCTATATTGAGAGTAGTAAAACCGATTGTTACAGAAAAGGAAAAAAACGTTTTGATAGCTAAACTTGATCAAGCACACTGTCCTGTTAAAATTCTAAGTGATTATTTAGATAAAGCTAAAATAGACAGGTTCTCAGATGATTTTGTGTTCAGAGCTTTATCTTATTGTAAAAGTACAAACAACTGCAAGCTGAGAAAAAAGAATATAAAACTATCCTATACTAGGACTAGTGAGATTGTAAAAGGAGCTCTATCGGAAATAGGTTTAGATCCAAGAATTTTTGGTACACATAGTTTTGGGGCAGGCGGTTGCTCAGCCGCTAGTAACTCTGGTGTCTCAATCAGATTATTAAAGATTCACAGAAGGTGGAAATCTGATATCGCGAAAGACAGTTACATAAGTGATAATTTGAAAAAAATGCTTATTAGTTTCAAAATCTTTAGGTTTATAAGATTTATACTGTAATTTCTTTCTTTGTACAATCAAAAATGGTCATCGTGCCTGACAAGTTCTAAAACTAGTGTTTTAGTTATTTCTATTTTGAATGAGATAAGAAACAGATTGGGCCGACGGTATACAGAAATTATATAGTCTAGTATATAAATAACTTATGTTCGTTTGAACGAAGAGAATTTAGAAAATAACACATTTTAATAGATTTGTCTCTTCATGGTTTATTGTTTATTTTCATTTTTACATAACAATATACAAACTAACAAATATTTCAAACGTAATCTGGAAAGTTAAGACTATATATAATTCCCTATTAATCTTTTTTAATTTCCTTTCAGAAACAAGCTGCTTGTTAAACAGCAATGAAACAGCAATCCAATCAACAAAAACATAAAGAAATTTGAATGTCAAAATACAGTTTTTTACAACAGATAAAACACAAGGAATATGGCAATCATTAACATAAGATTAAATCGTGCAAAATATAGAAAAAACTATGAATATATTTAACAAATTCTTTCATCTGCACTAAATTCCCTAAAACGACAAAATCATTAAAATAATTCATGTATATCTTTCTCATCAAAAACAATGACAAAATATTCCTTATTTGTTTTCTTGTTTTGTCTCATTTTCTCACTGTACTGAAAACATTTTTCTATATTTCATTATTACACATAAATATATATGTATAAACAAGTATTCATTCTATGTACATACTTGATTTGGTATTAGCAATATAAATATTACAGTATTTGCTGCATGTGATTCCATTTTAAAAATAATACTGAAACAGTCCAATATTGGTCCATTTTTGAACTTTAGTCAAATCATTCCGCTTTGGTTCACTCTTTTTTATCTTGCCCATTATTTTCTGTAACTCTACTTCAATCAGCAGCATAAACTCTCTATTAAGGATGATCGATTCTATACATAAAGGATTGGTCTTCTGTAAATCTGTTGCTGTGGTAGTATGTGTATTTGTTCATAAAATACATACCTAACTGTTTGTTATACAAATTGTGAAGATGAGCTTATTTCTCTATTGTGTTGGAACATTGATTTGGTGTTCAATTTCAACTTCAAAAGCCATTCCTGAAATAAAATAAAACATATCACTGCACAGATAAAATAAATTACAGTTTGAAATTCTACTAAAAAAAATCAAAGTTTTATAGATATAACAATTTAGACCAATATAAAAAGAAACTTCAGTGATTAACAGACAATGTAACCATAGTTATGGTCATAGTCAACAGGCGATTTTATTACGTTTTTATATAGAAATTTAAGAAATAAGATATGTGTGCCAATGAGACAACTCTCCAAGTCAAAATGTGTAAAAAGTAAACAATTATAAATTAAAGTATGGTTTAACACGGCGCCTTGAATTACATCGAACAGCAAGCTATAGAGGGCCCTTGAATAACTAGTGTAAAATAATTTAAACAGGAGACCAACGGTATAATCTATATAAAATATATAATCTATATGCATAAACATAGAAAATCTATATATAATCTAGTCTGCATACACTCATATTTTAGTACAAACTGGTCCTAAAATCCTAATCAACTTTGCGCATAAAAAGAAAGGAATTGAAAAAGGCTCAGAAATCAAACTGTTTAAAGCATATTTACCTAATATTTCATTTTCAATTGATTTCACTTCCTCTGCAGAAATAGTTTTAGCCAAAATGTCATTTAAATGATCTGTATACAGCCTTGTTGGTTTGTTATGTTGATCAAAGCGTTTTAAAAGATCGCTTAGTATGTTACACAATTCAATAAAACGTTTATTATCAAGTTGAAATATCCTAGAGTGTTGTAATTCGTTTCTTGCAAGTCTAATGCGCTCAATATCATCTCCAATAGCTAAGTCTGTATTCTGAATTCTTTGCCATTGACCGCCCCATGAATTACTAGGAATATGTTTATTAAGTTTCCTGTGCTCACTGTACAAGTGTGTAATATCACAATCACTCCTTGGACGTAAATTTTGTTTGTCTTGTTTTAATAAATCATATAAAGCATCAGCGAGAATATTCAGCACAATCATTCCCATCTTTGTAAAGTTGATTTCCTCTTTTGTGAACTGAAATGCAGATAAATGTAGAGAGTTATGATGTGAAATATGTAAAATGCCAAAATAAGGCTCAATAGATTTGTTGGGTGATACGATTGTCGGAAAAAAATTCAGGTGGTCAGATAAGTAACCACAGCAATAACAAAATAAAATGCTCCGCAGGGCGCAGCTTGATACGACCGCAGAGGTCGAACCCTGAACAGTTGGGGCAAGTATGGACACAACATTCAAGCTTGATACAGCTCTGAAATTGGATTGTGATTAAATATTTGACACAGCATAGGTTTCTGACACAGAATGAATGTGGTCTAAGAACTTAAAAATTTTAAATTGGACATTCACCTATTATGGTCCAATATCCAAAATCTAAATACATGGTTAGATTCAGCATATCAAAGAACCCCAAGAATTCAATTTTTGATGAAATCAAACAAAGTTTAATTTTGGACCCTTTTGACCTCAATGTGGACAAAGTTGATAACGGGACCCAAAAATCTAAATACATGGTTAGATTCAGCATATCTAAGAACCTCATATATTCAATTTTTGTTGAAATCAAACAAAGTTTAATTTTGACCCCGATTTGGACCAACTTGAAAACTGGGCCCATAATCAAAAATCTAAATACATGTTTAGATTCAGCATATCAAAGAACATTAAAAATTCAATTTTTGTTAAAATCAAACTAAGTTTAATTTTGGACCCTTTGGACCTTAATGTAGACCAATTTGAAAACGGAACCAAAAATTAAGAATCTAAATACACGGTTAGATTCGGCATATCAAAGAACCCCAATAATTCAATTTTTGATGAAATCAAACACAGTTAAACTTTGGACCCTTTGGACCTCAATGTGGACCAATTTAAAAACGGGGCCCAAAATCCAAAAACTTAATACACGGTTAGATTCAGCATATTAAAGAACCCCAAGAATTCAAGAATAAAACCCCATTGAATTGATCAAGAAATAAGCAATTTATACGAAGTATCTTCTTTTGCACAATACTGTGCAATTAAATATTTCTTGCTATTGCGCAATACTGTACAATTGACAATTTCTTGCTATTGCGCAATATTGTGCTATTGGATATTTCTTGCTATTGCGCAATACTGTGCAATTGAAGATTTCTTGCTATTGCGCAATACTGTGCAATTGAAGATTTCTTGCTATTGTGCAATACTGTGCAATTGAAAATTTCTTGCTATTGCACAATACTTATTATATAAAAATTTACACATCCTGTTTGGTGTGTATCTCCTACCATATCATTATTATTTGCTTTTAAATATAAATCAGAAATAACCAACTTAAAATGGAAAATTTTAAAAGAAAAAAAAAAAGGAAAAAAAGAAAAAAAAAAATCCCCCCCCCCCAAATTTTTTGAACCGCCTTATTATTCATCAACCCCAAACTCAATCCCAGCCTTCCCTTTGTGGTATGGTACCTTGCAGTACAATTTCAGAGAGATCCATACACTTGAACACAAGTTATTGTCTTGAAACTAGAAAAATGCTTATTTTTGGCCCCCAATTCCTAAACATTTCAGGCAATTACCCCCGAACTCAATTCAAAGTTACAAAAATGCTTATTTTTGGCCCCTTTTTGGCCCCTTATTCCTTAACTGTTGGTACCATAACCCCCAAAATCAATCCCAACCTTCCTTTCGTGGTATTGAACCTTATGGTAAAATTTCATGGAGATCCATTTACTTAAACTAAAGTTAGAGTGCGAAAACCAATGTGTCTTCGGATGACGCCGGACGACGACGACGCCAACGTCATACCAATATTCGATGAAAAATTTTTAATTTTTGCGGTCGTATAAAAACTAAAGGCTCTAAAAAGCCTGTGTCGCTCACCTTGGTCTATGTGCATATCACACAAATGACACTCTTCAACATTGTTGACGGGAATATATTTCATAGTCTCTTGTGGAGAGTTGTCTCAATGGCAATCATACCACATCTTCTTTTTTATATTCATGACAAAAATCTCTATTTTGTTGATCTTGTATTACTGATCTTTTAGTCTGTTTAGTCTCTCTCTAACTTCTTAAAGTTTTGCTATAAAAACACAAAAGAGGGTTAAAAAAATCCTCATTTAAGGTCAATCACTCCTATGAAGAGTGACAGTCTACTAACTATATCAGCAAAATTTGACTTTTTAATAGATATTGCCTTGCTGATTATTTTTGTGATTAAAAGTGTTTATTTATCTACTAAAATTTAAATTATATAAGGCATAACGAAAAAAAATGTTTCTGTCTTAACATCATAGTTTTCATGATAATAGGCAAAAATGAAAAAAATGGTAATATTTGTCATTTATGGGCAATAACTCCTATAAGAATTTGTCTAACAGTTTTAACGTATATGGACAATTGGTAGAGCTCATTATTCTGAACATTTTTGCTCCTTTCAGATTTTCTCTATTTATAACAGTTAAAAAAATAATAGACAAACTTGCATTTTACCTATGTTCTATTTTTAGCCATATCAGCCATGTTGGTTGATTGGCGGGGTCATCGGACACATTTTTTAAACAAGATACCCTAAGGACAATTGTGGCCAAGTTTGGTTAAATTTGTCTAAATAGTTTGAGGAGAAGATTTTTGTAAAAGATTACAAAAATTTAAAAAAAATGTTAAAAAATGACTATAAGGGGGAATAACTCCTTAAGGGGTCAATTGACCATTTTGGTCATGTTGACTTATTTGTAGATCTTACTTTGCTGTACATTATTGCTGTTTACATTTTTTCGCTATTTATAATAATATTGAAGATAATAACCAAAAACTGCAAAATTTTCTTAAAATTACCAATTCATGGGCAGCAACCCAACAATGGGATGTCTGATTTGTCTGAGAATTTCAGGGCAGATAGATGTTGACTTGATGAACAATTTTATTCCCGTCAGATTAACTCTAAATGCTTTGGTTTCAGAGATATAAGCCAAAATCTATATTTTACCCCTATGTTATATTTTTAGCCATGGTGGCCATCTTGGTTGGAAGGGCGGGTCATCGGACACATTTTTCAAACTAGATACCCCAATGATGATTGTGGCCAAGTTTGGTTAAATTTGGTCCAGTAGTTTCAGAGGAGAAGATTTTTGTAAAAGTTAACGACGACGGACGACGACAGACGCCAAGTGATGACTTTATGAGATTTTTTTTACAACCGAAATCTGTAAATGATGTACAAAATAATTAAGAAACATATTATGCATAGACACATTTCTGCAATAGAATATCCTACTACTTTTAGCAAATGAGAACAACACTAGATGTGTGATATAACATACCCCTGTCAAACTGGCTGCTACTGTTGACTCATCATGGATATTTGAAATGTCTCTCTTAATAGCTTTGACACGGACACACACCTGCAATTAACAAATAAAAGAACATGAAGTGAGCAGGCTTACATACACTTACACCTTTCCCTCCCCCATACAAAAGGCGAATGCTTTTAATGTCCTTTGTTTTTTTTTTTTTGAGAAGTGATCCTTTTTAGTTATAATTTTGGGCAGCAATAGTGTGTCAAAAACATCAATTTATAAGTAACTTTGATAATGATGATGCTAGATAGCTGCTTAACGTACAGCGGCAAATTAATATGCATATTCAGGACGAGAATACGTTAATGTAAAATGAATATTTACCCTGCTTTGTGCTAGAACGACACCCTGAGCTGGATTTTTAATGTGCTAGTTCGCAAGGTAACAGTCCACAAGAAGACATGTCACATTTATACCCGGAACCATTCTTCTGATTCCTAACTGATCCATCTTTGCTCTTATTTTCAAAGCCACGTGCTTAGCGGAGATGCAGCAAAAACTAATTTAAAAGTCTTTAATTTGACCAGACTGGGGAACTAACCCACGATCTCCTGCAAACGATACCATCGAGGCGGTTTAGTAAATTTTGACTTTGACCTCATACCTAGTGACTAAAACATAGAAAATGGATCTTCCTCTTATCATACCGGTCATTTATCCAAGTTAAGTTGCAATCCAAAATGTAGTATTAATTTGATTTAACATCTTGAAGCCCCCTTTTGCAGAAATTTTGGATTATATCTAATAATTATGACAGCATGGACAGTGACCTTTGATGTGGTGACGTCAATATCATTAGTGATCTTCATCTTATTAAATGTGATCATAATTTCAGGATATAAAGTATTGGTATCTGGAAACAAAAATCACTGACGTAGTAACTTACATTATGATCAGTCGCTCTCAATAGAACTATTACTTCTCTTCAAAAGTTCCAAGATTGATTGACTGATCGTTGGTGTTTAACGCAATTTTCAGCACTTTTGGCTTTATAATAATTTTACAATATTTTTTTATTGTTGGAGGATGCAGGAGTACTTGGAAAGATCCTATGACCTTCGGCAAGAAAATTGGTAATCCAAGTTAATTTTAAGATCAGAGTCGAAGGAACCTGCCAAGTTTGAAGTTCGAACTCACAATAATAGCTGAACAAGGGTGTTAATAAGCTAGTGATACTGTGAAAATAATGAACTACTAGACCTGTTGGTGCCATCAGTTCATCATTGTAAATCTATTTTTGTTGATTATATCTTTCTTATTTAATCTTCCGTGTATGTAGTATCAGTTTTGAGGATTTTTTTTATAGTTATTTAAGGAAAGTTATCCCTATATGGAGCTGATTGATGGTTTAAATTTATAGGTATTTTTATAGACTCATACTTGTGATTGTGTACAGATTCTACATATCTTTTTTTATCAGTATGAAATAGTATGCGTATATAAACGTATATAGTCTTCGCATATCCTGTTTCTGTTGCAAGCGTAAGGTTTCATTCAAATCACTTGGTTTCATCTTCGCAATCTGTGTCTAAGTTATGTCAATTTCCTTACTTAAAGACTGTGAATTTTAAAAACTAAACATTCAAGCGTCAATGTTAAATGGCAGGATGAAATTAATATTCATACACTGTTGGGGAAAAAATGATCTACGTGTACTCCCTACTAAACAACCCTCACTTTTATTACGGTTTCTAAGGCTTGTTCAAATGAATTTCATATTTTCCGACAATGTACATAACTTGTTTATTTTAAACTTTATGCTCTATTTCCAGTTATAGTGGCAATGATGGTGCTTTAGCAGGGGAAACTACATACACATATAATACATTGGTGGCATTCGGCTGCTTTTTTACTCTCTGGTGGGGATGTTGTCTCTTTGTGTTGTTTGCTGCAAGTTTTGTTTATCCAAAATCGATTTTGCACATATCCATATTGGTCAATCAATTTTTCTCAAATTAAGTAAAGAGGAGGGTGGGGGACAGTGAAAAAACTAAGTGAATTAAGTTTTTTATCCTACATTGAACTTTTGATGTCGTCCCTTACTGAATGTATTGATACCGTAAATGGGGAAATTTTGGTTAATGTGATGTTTCGATTTATTTCATGCTTTCAGGGAAATGCCAAAATGAAATACACTAAATTAAATCATTTAAGGTGGCTTGGGTGTCTTCCTCTATCTTGCATTTTGAAGTAGCAGATAACAATTGGTCTAGATCTTTAATGAAATGTGCAAATTTTGAGAGTAGTATGTAATTCATGTGCAAGACTTTTCATGTTAATATAGAACCTTATGTGTTTTATCATATTTACGGCTGTATTTTCTAAAAAAAAAAAAACAATATTTTTGTTTGATTCATTTTTTTCAACTTTGTCAAATAAAAGGAGATAACTCAGATAAAGTAATTTTATAATAGAAAGTGTCGTGAATTTACCTATTTTAATTTGTAGCAAGAAAACAAGTCCAGTGACCCAATTTTTTCTTTTTCTTATCTGAAAGCATGTTATAAGAGCTATCTTCTCACATTTTATCATAAAATTCTATAGTGTGGTTTTCTTTTTATCACACAAAATTGGATTTTCCATGCATTATCTATACAAAATCTGACTATTTTGCACAACCTGTAATGTGAAAAAAAATCCAGTGACCAATACTTTTTATTATATTTTTGAAAAAAGCATGATAAAAACTTCATTTTGACAAATTATTAAAAAAATTCTATGGATTTTAATTAAGACCCCCAGCCACCTTAAATACAATGTTTGATAGTCATAAATTTAAACGCCATAAGATATGTTAATACATAAAAGATTCAATTATCCTCTAAATAAATTTAAATGTAAATATTTGATGAAATTGATTATACAATTAGTGGTTCAAAGTATCAATTAATGCAACAGGTTAATAATCTTCTTTTTACTATATTACCAGACCAATTTATATGGAAATAGTACTTTGATCTACCCTCAAAATTATTGCAACTGATGTGATCGGATTCATTTAAAAAAAAAAGGTTTTATGTGCTATCACAAATGTGTTTATATGCTTGAATTTTTATTTTTTCATGTGTTTTACATACTTACCGATCACAAACAACTAACAGGAACATTGATTATATAAAAATAAAAAGACAGTACTTTTACTAAATGCAAATGTTTGACACACCAACATTTTACCAACACCTTTTTAGTGACTATATTCAAATTTCTACTGAAAAAGTAAGTTCATCTGTAATGTGTATGTAATTCAGTGGATGTCGTTAGTTGCTGTCTGTCATGCTTTCTTTTCGTTTATTGTTTTGTCATAAATAAGGCAGTTAAATATTTAGATTTTTTGTCATGTCATTGCCTTTAATTGCCGACAATACTGTATGGGTTATGCTCATTGTTGAATGCTGCAAGGTAGAAGTTCACTTCCTTTGAACACTGATAGATACCTGTCTCACTGGCAATCACATTTCCTTTTGTAAAATAAGCAAAATTTCAGGATCTTTTTTATTTTGTTCAATCAATTATACAGTAATACAAGTTGTAATAAAATGCTCCGCAGGGCGCAGCTTGATACGACCGCAGAGGTCGAACCCTGAACAGTTGGGGCAAGTATGGACACAACATTCAAGCTTGATACAGCTCTGAATTTGGATTGTGATTAAATATTTGACACAGCATAGGTTTCTGACACAGAATGAATGTGGTCTAAGAACTTAAAAATTTTAAATTGGACATTCACCTATTATGGTCCAATATCCAAAATCTAAATACATGGTTAGATTCAGCATATCAAAGAACCCCAAGAATTCAATTTTTGACGAAATTAAACAAAGTTTAATTTTGGACCCTTTTGACCTCAATGTGGACAAAGTTGATAACGGGGCCCAAAAATCAAAAATCTAAATACATGGTTAGATTCAGCATATCAAAGAACCCCATATATTCAATTTTGTTGAAATCAAACAAAGTTTAATTTTGGACCCCGATTTGGACCAACTTGAAAACTGGGCCCATAATCAAAAATCTAAATACATGTTTAGATTCAGCATATCAAAGAACCCTAAAAATTCAATTTTTGTTAAAATCAAACTAAGTTTAATTTTGGACCCTTTGGACCTTAATGTAGACCAATTTGAAAACGGAACCAAAAATTAAGAATCTAAATACACGGTTAGATTCGGCATATCAAAGAACCCCAATAATTCAATTTTTGATGAAATCAAACAAAGTTAAATTTTGGACCCTTAGGACCTCAATGTGGACCAATTTAAAAACGGGGCCCAAAATCCAAAAACTTAATACACGGTTAGATTCAGCATATTAAAGAACCCCAAGAATTCAAGAATAAAACCCCATTGAATTGATCAAGAAATAAGCAATTTATACGAAGTATCTTCTTTTGCACAATACTGTGCAATTAAATATTTCTTGCTATTGCGCAATACTGTACAATTGACAATTTCTTGCTATTGCGCAATATTGTGCTATTGGATATTTCTTGCTATTGCGCAATACTGTGCAATTGAAGATTTCTTGCTATTGCGCAATACTGTGCAATTAAAGATTTCTTGCTATTGTGCAATACTGTGCAATTGAAAATTTCTTGCTATTGCACAATACTTATTATATAATAATTTACACATCCTGTTTGGTGTGTATCTCCTACCATATCATTATTATTTGCTTTTAAATATTAATCAGAAATAACCAACTTAAAATGGAAAATTTTAAAAGAAAAAAAAAAAGAAAAAAAGAAAAAAAAGGAAAAAAAAAAAATCCCCCCCCCCCCCCCAAATTTTTTGAACCCCTTATGATTCATCACCCCCAAACTCAATCCCAGCCTTCCCTTTGTGGTATGGTACCTTGCAGTACAATTTCAGAGAGATCTATACACTTGCCCACAAGTTATTGTCTGGAAACTAGAAAAATGCTTATTTTTGGCCCCTTTTTGGCCCCCAATTCCAAAACGTTTCGGGCAATTACCCCCAAACTCAATTCCAGCTTTCCCTTTGTGATATGGAACCTTGTAGTACAATTTCAGAAATATCCAAACACTTACACACAAGTTATTGTCATGAAACTAGAAAAATGCTTGTTTTTTGCCCCTTTTTTTGCCCCTAATTCCTAAAATTTTGAGGCAATTACCCCCAAAATCAATTACAGCCTTTCCTTTGTGATATGGAACCTTGTGGTACAATGTCAGAGAGATCTATACACTTACACACAAGTTATTGTCTGGAAGTTACAAAAATGCTTATTTTTGGCCCCTTTTGGCCCCTAATTCCTTAACTGTTGGTACCATAACCCCCAAAATCAATCCCAACCTTCCTTTCGTGGTATTGAACCTTATGGTAAAATTTCATGGAGATCCATTCACTTAAACTAAAGTTAGAGTGCGAAAACCAATGTGTCTTCGGACGACGCCAACGTCATACCAATATTCGATGAAAAATTTAAAATTTTTGCGGTCGTATAAAAACTCACCAAATATACCTGGCGTATAATTTGGTACGGCACACACGTTTTGTCTACGTAAGACTCATTAGTGGCGGCTTTGTGTGGCGCACTATCAAAACAGTTGAAGATCATATCAAATATGAAGTTGAAGAGTATTAAAAATCGACAATAAAACGTGAACTAAATATTTTTTTGTATTGTGTCCTGTTATCTATGTCCCGCATGAAGAGATAATTCTCTTATCACACTGAACAGTTATATGAACAAGTGATACAACATATGAGTTTGTATGGCTCATCCTGCATTGTATTTGCAGACTATTTCTTCTCAAAGTTTGAGTTCTTGAACAATATATACAACTCTCACATTTTTCAAATGAATATATGTTCTTTATATCAAATGTGATTGCATTATGAAGTGTACACAAACACAAATAACGTCTGATGTTTAAAACAATTGACATAGACAGCAAACCCTCTACACATTACTGTAAAGGTGTCAAAGTTAAGAACAACGATACACGAAATGTTCCGTTTTACACAAGGAGAATGTTTACCAATAGAAAAATATATGTTTAAAAACACATAATATTTCAATGTCATTTGATATCAACTTCTGTTATTCAATTTAGATAACATAATAATAAATTCTGAATTAGCTCATTTATCATGTTTATTATTATATTGAAATTATGAGTTTATAGCAAACTTTATCCAATTTTCACTTTTATTGAAATCTATAAATCTTGCATAAAATTTATATACATTTTATGGTAATATCTATCTGAAATATTTGAAAGAAATAACTTGAACAATTGGTTGTTACCTTAGATGATGTAGTTTGGACTTGATTGATGCTTTCTATGTTAGGATTCAGTCCTGGTTTAATCTCACAACTCTGGGACAGCTGAAATAATTAACAAAATGATATTCAGTAGTATTGGAGGTTCACTACTTTCTTTAAAATGTGTGCTACAATTCATTTTTGGTGGGGTTCATGTTGCTCAGTCTTTGGTTTTCTATGCTGTGTTTGTCTTTTGAGTCTTTTTCTTTTTTTTGCCAGGGCATTGTCAGTTTTATTTTCAACTTATGAATTTTAGTGTCCCTTTGGTATCTTTCGCCTCTCTTTTGCATGTAATTTAATAATTAAATAAAGATATTGGACTAATGATGCGGCTTCGGTATCTATTCTCTTGTTTTTTGATTCAAATACCAAATTGAGGTAGGCGCTAAAAGATAGTAATTGAACAATTCACATTAATGTATGTACCGGTATGTCTCTCCTTTATTTCTAGAAGTCAATTAAGTAAAAATGCAACAAAAAATCCCTAGTACTCAAAAGGGATTCACATTATAAATGACAATTTAGAATTTATTTGGAGTTCTGGTGGACATATACAAAACAAATTAGGTCAAGGTCAAAGGTCATCCTCTATGGTACGAAAAACATTGTGATGAGGCACTGCACTAATGTTTCACTTATCAAAAGCCTATGTCAAAGGATAAAAAAGTAATGTTCCAGACACGAAAACCAATGAAAATCAAGCATTTTGACTTCGAGTACACAGGTCAAGGTCACATGAAGGTAAAAATGATATGCTACACATCATCTTATTGTAAACAGCTTTCATGCTAGCTTCTATAAGATAAAAAATCATGAGTGTGACACAGATAAAGAACAACTAGAAAAAATACCAAACTTGTGTCAATCAGTCCTTTGAACATTTTGGTGGTCAAAACCTTCAGACCACCACTTTTCGAAAACTCTGCACAGAGGTTAATTAATATACCTCTCTCCTTCAATCAAAGTTTCCATGCAGTAAATAAATATTTCACTTACGCAAGGCATTCTACTTTGCAGATCTTGCCATTCATCAATGAATATATGGGTGCATGTACATTTCTCACAGTAATATTCTGCAATCTGCTCTTCATTAAAATCATTTGATCCTGTAACAGACTCTGGTTTTGTTAGGCCACATTCCCATTTTTTCCAAAAGTTCACATTAGACATCTTAAATCTTGTGCTTATTATTTTGACAATTTCCTCTGTCACAAAGTCGTCTATGTATTTGTACATACCTCGTTCACGTCCTTTCCCAAATTGCCAAACCTGAAATTGAATCATATTCGGACGTTTCATTATATGTAATTTTGCTAATTTTGTCTTTTTCTGTAACTCAAAGACAGCAACGCCTCTGAAAAGAGCAATTTGTCTTTTCTGTTCCTTAGTGACAACTTCTGCAACTTTATATTTCCTGCACAGTGACGCAATTAAATGATTCATTAAATGAGGTGGAAGAAACCTAAACTTATAACATAACCAGGTGGACTTATTACAAGTGTTTTCTGTAACATTAAACATTTCGTAGATATCACACTCGGGTTCTGATTTAATCATACAAGGTACATAATAAAGAGATTTGTCATCACCAGTGTCTCTTTGAGTCTCTGATATGTTAGGACGTATAATGATATCAAATTTCTCCATTACGTTCAGGATGTGATCCTTGTGTTTGGAAAAAATGTTTTCACTTTTTCTAAATATGTCGTCTAAAACCTCACTATGTAATTTGCCTCTACTATACAATTCATTCCAGTTTGTTCTATTTCTAATACTAATAGCTCTAAATTTCTTTGCTGTGACTATACATCTAAAAGCATCAGACAACCACTGTGTGTCTAAAATAATATAAGAAGGAAGATCTTTGAAATAAACTAAAGCTCTGTTCTCATGGTGAAATTCCAGGAACAATCTGAGTTCCTCATCATTAAGTGGATTAGGTGTATCAGAAGAGATGTACTGAATTTCATGAAAGGAAATAATTGGTAACTCCTTCTTTTTCTCTTGAAGTCGTTTTTCCAGCTGAATAAATTTTAAGGGGTAAACTTTGTTCCAAGTTTTTATTTTTCTGGCTAAGTTTAGGATGTCTTCTCGGATTTGCTGGAATACACTGGGGTCATCTTCTGTATTGGAAATGAAATATTCTTGCCTTATATGTCTTAGTTCATCTTCTGACATATTCTCTGTAAACTTAAAAATGTTTTTTCGGTATGCATCGTCAATCTACAAAAAAAATATGCTTGTTTGTTTGTTTGGTCTTTACAAATAAATGAATGCTTTGAAAATATTTGAAAACATGAAGTAAATACTAAAGCTATATAAACATATATGATAATCATATAACTATATTATATTAAATAAATTATTGTAAGAACACAACTTTTGTAAAATGTGATAAAGGATTTGCTTTTCCTGGTAACACTTCAAAAGTTATTTCATTAGATATTGTCAAAAGATTGATCTGAATACATTACACTATCAGTAAAACATGATGGTCCTGTACCAAAAATGAACGAACAGAAGAAGTGTGCTTGCAACCTATAAACATTTGTAGATTTTAAATACCTCTTCTACATCAGAGGTCACAGCATCTTTCCAAGTACCAACAATAACTACTGGTGGATCAAGATCATCTGATGACTTGCTGTCAGCAGAATTACTTTTGTCCTCTTCCGGTCTACTGTAGCAATGGATCGAATCCATCCATAACTGGAATAAATCTGCAAAGAAATAGAATAACGATTTCCATCAACATTTATTTAAGTCTCATGAAGATCTGCAAGTTAATTGTAGTTGAAAAATCCGGAGATGTAGCTTTACTAATATGTAAGTGGGTATCAATACAAAGGAATGATGAACAACACATCACGAGCTGTCTTTATTTTCACCAGCACTGCAATGTTATTAGAACATGTAATAACTGTACTGTTTCTATTTTAAGGGAGACAGATTCATGGTACCATTGTGTTATATGTATACCGCATTACTTAACCTATTTTAGGAATATATTAATGTGATATTTTAGGTATGAAAATAAATCACTCTTGTTAAATCTCTACACATTCTCTATAACAAAAAAAAAACGAGGGGATGTGGTATGATTGATATATATTGAGACAACAATTCACCGAAGAACAATAGACAAGAAAATAATCAGCTAAAGGTCACTGTTCAACCTTTTCAAATTCTAACAACTAGCTGCAATAGAGGAAAGATATAAAATTCACAAACAAATAATTTTTTTAATATAACACGCTGTGTAGCTTTTAAATAGCGAAATGTGTACAATTTATAATGAAATCTGTCGTCAATAATCTGATAATAAAAAGTAAAATCACAAAAACACTGAACTCCGATTGATCAATTTAAAACAATTTTGACGTATTTATAAGTATGAACAAAAAGCTCCTGTCAGTCAGACCTTCCAATGAGTCCATGCACAATACAAAACTGAACTCTCACTAACAGTAATAAACAACGATTAAAAAACTGTTATAGGGGAAATCTTTAATATGTAAACAACTAACTTGACATTTAAATCATTCACCTTTTAATAAAAATACAGACCAAGTATTTTACTGTATTATCAAAATCATAGTCAAAGAAATTATTTAAAAAAAAAGTAAAATGTAAAAAGTAATCACATTGTTCCGTCATGGAAGGAAATGTTCTGAGTACAGTCCCAATTTGTCTGAAAATATCTTAACCAATTTAGAAATTGTCTACCATTGTCTACTGGGTAATACAAGAAAAATATGACTACATCTTTCTGAATCCTGATATGAAAATAACAAAACCAATTTTGTGCATCCTAGGTGCTTTTCTGGATTAACATGATTAATAACCTTCATCAGGAATGCTTAAATCCAAACATTTGATACCCTTTAAGTTAGTTATAAATCAAGAGATTACCTGATTTCTCTTTTGGAATTGAGATTGACAGTTATGAATTTTCTGCTGCATTTTTCTGAATCAGTTAAACCTTTTGATCTAGACAAATTCAGAACTTCTGAAAATGTCTTAATTTTTATGAATGTGTCAGAACTATGTTCAAGAATATATGTTAGACAGATTAAGAATTTCTTAAACAAGTCTTAATGTATCTGAACAATTTAGAAAGCTGCTCAAATGAAGCAATTTGATAAAAAGAAGATTTAGAAAGCATGTGATTAGCGCTATAAGCACAAGGATTTAAAAATTTGTATACATCACAATTGCAATGATCACAAAAAATTTTAAGTTATATTAAGATTTCAAAGACTGTAAAACAATTTAATTTAAAAAAAATCCACTTCATTGGATTTCTGCACTCTGACCTATTTAATCTATAAAAAAATCATGATTTCGATGAGTAATCATAAGAAAAAAAATTCATAGATATCGAACATTGAGAAAACTCTTTAAGCAATATGTACAGTACTTGCAACCTTAGGCGTTACTGTTTGACGGGAACTTGACTGATCGATGAATGATAAATAATATATGTTTGACGATCGATGAATGATCGGAGATCAATGACCCATAGAATCCGTCAGATACATCAAATAAGCTGAGGACCACCTCCGGGTGCGGGATTTTCTCGCTGCATTGAAGACCCATTGGTGGCCTTCGGCTGTTGTCTGCTCTTTGGTCGGGTTGATGTCTCTTTGACATATTCCCCATTTCCATTCTCAATTTTATGTAAGAGTTAGCGTGACATCGGTCAGTGATCGATCAGTAAATTAATTATATGTATGGATCAGATGGATACGTATATAATTAAGATTCTTATATAAAACGAACTCCACAGTATTTACATGTGATAAATGCGGACCTCTACGAAGACACCTTTAATCGTTAATTTTCACGCATTACAAAAATGTTATAATTTATAAGGAAAAAGATACTAAATCTATTGTTTGTGTTGAATAAGAATTCAATCATTTCTTTATTAATGTTAATAGAAATCAGAACCGCCATTGGTTTTTTTTAGTACTTTTTGTACATCAGGATTGGTTGTTTTTCATAAAATTAAATTAATATCAGAGAAAAGATACTTAAATGTTGTTCCCATTGTTTAAAATTACCAATATTGTCCTTTTCATCTAAAATAATGCAATATAATTTGTAATTATTTATTTCAAAGGCCAGATGATAAGTTTTTTGTCAAAATTTTAATTATATCAGAAGAAAAATACTTAAACTTTTTTTTGTGTTGAAAAAGAATGAAAAAATTACTTTATTTTAATAGAAATCATGAACTGCCATTTGATTTTAGTACTTTTTGTACATCAGAACTGTTTGTTTTTCATAAAATATGCTGAATTTCAGGGAAAAGATACTTAAATTTTGTTCGCATTGCTGAAAAATGCAAATATTTCTTTTTTTATATCAGAAATATTGAACCATCTTTGGGTTTTAGTTATTTTTGTTCATCAGGATGGGTTATTTTTGTATAAAATATGATGAATATCAGAGAGAAAAAAGCTAAAACTGTGTTTGCTTGTTTAAAAATACCATTTTTTCTTCTTTTTATCAAAAATAATGCACTGGTGTTAGCAATCAGTTATTCCAAATGCCTCAGGCTAATTTTTGTTTTTTTATGAAATATGAGGGAAATAACAATAAAGATAATAAATCTTTTGTTTGTGTTGAATAAGGATTCAATCATTTCTTTATTCTAAGAAAGCTAAGTATTAACTGCTATTGGATTTCTAGTACTGTTTGTACATCGGGATTGGTTGTTTTTTTCATAAAATTAAATGAATATCAGAGAAAAGATACTAAAATGTTGTTTGCATTGTTTAAAATTACCAATATTTTTTTTCTTTTTATAAAAAATAATGCAATGTTATTTGTATTTAGTTATTTCAAAGGCCTCAACATAAAGTTTTTTTTTATACAAATTTTAATAACATCAGGAGAAAAGTACTTAAACTTTTGTTTGTGTTGAATAAGAATGAAAACATTTCTTTATTCTAATAGAAATTATGAACTGCCATTTGATTTTAGTACTTTTTGTACATCAGGATTTGTTGTTTTTCCTAAAATATGCTGATCTTCAGGAAAAAGATACTAAAATGTTGATCGCATTGCTTAAAAATGCAAATTTTTCTTCTTTTAGATCAGAAATAATGCAACCTCAGTTGCAACCAGTCATTATTAAAGCCTTTAAATAAGTATTTTTTTATAAGATATGAATGATGTAAGGATAAAGATACTTAAACTTTTGTTTTTTGTTGAATAATAATGCAATTATTTCTTTATTTAAATGGTTTCATTGTTTAAAATACCAATATTTCTTCTTTTTATCAAAAATAATGCACTGTAACAGTTGTAAGCAATCAGTTATCTTAATTGCCTTTGGATAAATTACTTTTTATAAAATTTGATTATAATATAGGGATTAAGATAATTAAATTCTTCTTTGTGTTGAACAAGACTGCAAGTTTTGTTTTTATTTCATTAAGATTGAATTACACAATAAACATCATTGAACATGTTGAATATAATTATTTTTGTTGGGTTGTTCCCATAATATGATGAATTTTGTGGGAAAACATATGGTCCGAGTACACAGTTATCGTCCTTTGATTTTCGTTGTCCACGAATAAAGTCCCTAGTGTGGACAGTGTGTTGCTTGCCAATTTTTTTAGTACCCCTTCCAAATGTATTCCTTCATGTTTTATGCCTCAAATAGCAAGTAGGGGGATGAAATTACACTGTAAAAAAATTTGGGTCATGAATTGTAAAGTAAAGTAGTGATTTGGTCCAGCTGAAAAAGGTTAAAAATTAGCACTTCGGAAGCTGTCAAAAGATTTCAAGACCCCCTTAACATAGAATTGTCCATATTTTGAGTTAGAGCCGATGAAGTTTTCTATAATTTTGATATAATTTGTCCCAAAAGTAGTACAACACACTGTAAAAATATTATTGAGAAAGCGCAGGTGGGATTTTTTTTATTTTCATTTATTGTCTAAAAGAAATGCACTACGAAATAACTGTGTACTCGGACCTAAGAGGCGAAATCAGTAAATATAGAATCTGTACTTTGGCAACTTCCCTGAATGATTTAATGGTGTCAATTTGTCAGATAGCATGAAACTAAAGGATTTAAACTTTTATTTGATAGAAATTCTGCAAAAATTACCCATTTTGGCATTATATGGTCAAAATAAGCATTTCAAAGCTTTTTCAATTTTGATGCATAAATGGCATTCTGACTTTCTATGTGACAGGTTTTCCTGTGTCAATATTTGTGTTTCTATGCTTTAACCCAGTTGTATTACTCATTTGTGAACTCTGAATCTACAGAAAATAAGATTATCTCAGACAATATGTGCAAAATGTGTTGTATAAATGACCCTCGTGTAACGGCCTGTTTGGATCAAGTTAAATGTGAGGACCTAGGTACATAAAAGTTGAAGTCCATAATAAAGATTTCACTAAATTTGTATTAAAAGCACTTCACAATGTCTTTTGTACTTGTTTCATTTCACATAGTATCTTTCTTTTCTTATGTTAAATAGCAAGTGGTTCAAATATAAGCCTGCTGAGGCTAAAATTGCATGCGAGTTTTTCACTAAAAAGTGAAAAATCTTTGTATCAGACCATACTGTCTGCAAAAAAAGTAGAATGCAAGAGTCCCTTTATTCTCAGATTTATTGTATCATGTAACCTGAGTATAGAAATTATAAAAGAGACACAAATTTTTATTTCCTATAGCTTCAGTATGCATTTT